AATTTTTTTTTTTCTATTTGTTCATTTGTACCCACTTTCTTTACTTTGTATTTATTTATTTTATTTTATTTATTATTTTTTTATTTCATCTATTTATTTATTTTTTTTGAGACAAGAGTCTCGCTCTGTCGCCCGGGCTGGAGTGAGCGCCGTGGCGTCAGCCTCGCTCACAGCAGCCTCCGACTCCTGGCCTCCAGCGATCCTCCTGCCTCAGCCTCCCTCCCGAGTAGCTGGGACGACAGGCGTGCGCCTCCACGCCCGGCTCAGTTTTTTCTATATATGTTAGTCGTCCAGCTCATTTCTTTCTATTTTTAGTAGAGACGGGGTCTCGCTCTTGCTAAGGCTGGCCTCCAACTCCCACCTTGAGCGATCCTCCCGCCTCGGCCTCCCGGAGTGCTAGGATTACGTGCGTGAGCCACCACGCCTGGCCATCCTTGTGTTGTTTTTGTATGAATGCCATAATTGAGGCCATAGTCACTATATTCACAAATTTGGTTCTAGGTTTTGTCTTTCTTTTCAAAATGGTAACTTTCATTATGTAAATAACACATAATTTTTTGGAAAAAATAGAGAAAGAACAGGCTGGGCGCGGTGGCTCACGCCTGTCATCCCAGCACTCTGGGAGGCCGAGGCGGGAGGATCGCTCAAGGTAGGAGTTCGAGGCCAGCCTGAGCAAGAGCGAGACCCCGTCTCTACTAAAAATAGAAAGAAATTAATTGGCCAAGTAAACACATATGTAGAAAAAAACGAGCCGGGCGTGGAGGCTCATGCCTGTAGTCCCAGCTACTCGGGAGGGAGGCCGAGGCGGGAGGATGGCTGGAGGCCAGGAGTCGGAGGCCGCTGTGACCGAGGCTGACGCCCCGGCGCTCACTCTAGCCCAGGCCACAAAGCGAGACTCTTGTCTTAAAAAAAAAAAAAAAAAGAAAGAATACAGAAATTGTAATATATAAAAATATGCATTATTTATACATATATCATGGACATGCAATTCATAGTACAATTAATTGCATACTCAGAAATATCTGCTCTAACCTTTTCTATGTATTTCCTAGAATTTTTTTCTAGGCCCGTATTATAGTTGCTTTTTTGTAGACTTTGATTCATATTCTAAGTTACATGCACTGTTCCTTTTTTTTTGTTTTTTTTCCCCCTTAAAATTTATTATGCGGAACTATCTTCCACATCAAATGAGCCATTTTTTTTTTTTTTTTTTTTACTTTTTTTGAGACAGAGTCTCGCCTTTGTTGTGCCCAGGGCTAGAGTGAGCTGCCGTGGCGTCAGCCTCGCTCACAGCAGCCTCAAACTCTGGGCCTCAAGCGGATCCCGTTTCTGCTCTCAGCCTTCCCCGAGTAGCTGGGGACTACAGGCATGCGCCACCAATTGCCCGGCTAATTTTTTTGTATATATATTAGTTGGCCGATTAATTTCGCCTCTTTTTTTTCATAGGTAGAGACGCGACACGGTTCTACGCTCTTGCTCAGGCTGGTTTCGAAACTCCTCAGCAACTCGAGCAATCTGCCCCGCCTCGGCCCGTGCCCAGACGAGCTGCCGGATACAGGCGTTGAGCCTCCGCCCGGCCCCCGGCCAAAATGCAGCCGGATTTTGTCTGAGAGTGCTGTATCTTGAGCCTGGCCATGCAGGCCGCCCATTCCTTCCACACCCTTGTGATCAGGTTCTTCCCAACGCGCTGCATCTTTGTTTTTTGTTTGTGTGGTGGTGTGTTAGCGAGACGCCCCCCCCGCGGGATAAAACACTCATTCAGTCGGCCACCATACCTGCCACCGGCGCAAAGCTTCTGTGCCTTAATATTTGTTTTTTTTTTTTTTTTTTTTTTTTTTTTTTGGAGACAGAGTCTCGCTCTGTCGCGCCAGGCCTAGAGCTGAGTACGCTGGCGTCAGCCCTTCGCCTCACAGCAGCCTCGCGGACTCCTTGGCGCTCAGCGATCCTCCTGCCTCAGCGTCCCGCAAGTGGCTGGGACTACAGCCATGCCGCCCCACCGCTGCCGGCTAATTTTTTCTATTTCATATATCAGGTTGGCCAATTATTTCTTCTTTATTAGTAGAGACGGGTCTCGCTCTTGCTCAGGCCTGTCTTTGCAACTCCTGACTCGACGCGATCCTCCCGCCCTCCCGGCCCCTCCCAGAGAACTAGGGCATGACGGCGTGGACCGTCCAGCCGCCGGCCTTCACATTGGGGAGATTCACCTTTAGTGGCTAAAGGCAGAGAGATTTTCCATGTGTTGTCTTTGTGTGGCTGAGCTGTGTTGGTTTCTGTCCTGTGTGT